CTCATCAGCACTTCCCACCTCGTAATGTTATCACTTTATCACACTGCCATAGGATCAACCGCTCGGCTTTCTAATTTCTGCACATTCAAATAAAATTATTAAACTCAGCAATATCGGAGTAAATTGATCCATACGTTTCCTTTGTAATTCTTGCTTTTCCTCACTCCCTCAATATTGGCATCTAACTTTTCATAACTTGATTTATTTTTGAATCAGTGCTGATTTAATAAAAGAAGTGGCTCTACATTGAGTATACTAATGAGTCATTTCAGTGAATTACAAGCAAAGAAATTTTGGATTTTGAAGTTAAAAAGAGAAATCACCTATTAAACATAAAGCAAATGTTTGATCTGAGTGATATAATACTATATATGGAGCAAATCCCATTCAAAATTATCAAGGAGGAATCCTTTTATACATAGGTGGGTCTGGGACGGGTCTTTTATTTGAGATTGGCTTCCGTACTCATTTAGTACACCCTCGCATGTACGATATCGTAAATTACTTCTTTTCATAAAGATAATATAGTGTCAAGACATTCTGACAGTTTTTGGTCAAAGCTTAACTAGAATAGCATTTCTATTTGCCCTATGTTGGATATGGTAAGAAAAGGCTAATAATTCAATTTTCCCTCTATGCCATAAGTCGGTCATTGAGTCTCACTTACCCTTGCCTCCCAACATCTATTCTCACCAAGACTAGGCCACAGTTTCGATCTCGCCTGGGTCTAATCAACACTTCCAATGGAACTCGAATCCAGTTATTGCAGCGCATTATTTCGACATGCTACGACTACGCCACTGCCACGGGTGCCAGTGGCAGTCGATTATAATAGCAAATATAAATTTGCTTTATTGTCATTATCGCTACCAAAATATGATTTGAGAGTTGCCTGGCTAGCCTTAATATTCACGTCTGTTCTGTAGCTCGCTTACACTCGCTTCACTATAGCGTGGTGATAACATGTCGAAATTGTACGCCGCACTAGTTGGATTCTATTCCCGTTGGGGATGCTGATGAGATGAGGTTGATGATGATGTCTGATGAGGCGAGGTCTAAGCTGCGGTCCATCCTGGATGAGAATATCTTTTGGGAAACAAGATTAACTGAACTTCATGTAAACGTGAAGCCTACTCATATCAGCGTGAGAAAATTCAGCCATCATTCATAATTTTTATGGAATCCAGGGTAAATACATCTTTTATGCAAGATCTACTGATGGTTTCGAAATGTTCTCATTCTGAATATGGTGCTTAGCCAGATTATGTTGCCTTGCTGCACATGAGTATTGAAGTAGGCAGCTTATCGATTAGCAATTCTGTAATACGAAGGAAGCTTTTTAAATTTATTACTTTTTCCATTTGGTAAAATATCCTGTTCGAAACACCTAGTGCTCCTGGTGGCGGCTTCGTATTTGCTACACACCAACCTGCAGGATGTATCACTACGGCACAACAAAGTGGTGCCGCCCCCTCGATTTTTGTCTCCACTCCAGTTCCAGCATCCATGCCCGGTGCAACCACCTTCGTATTTCCTGGTGGACCCGCAGCTTCGGTCATTCCTCCGCCTGGGCTTCGCCTTCAGCCGCCAACTACGCTGCCCAATGGTCAGCCTTCTGCTTGTCAGAGTCTAGTGTCGATGTCAGATCATTCCCAACAAATGCAGACGACAACGACTACAACTGCTGCCACTCATACGGCCGGCTGCCTCATTCAGTTA